TATATATTATACGGACCACGGTAGTGCCCCGAACTGGATTGCGTTGCTAGAAGTCAGAACAATGCCTTTTCCAATGGAGATTATTATACCCTATTTCTGCGCGACGTATGCCGAGTATTCGTCTACAGTACTCCTTTTCATTAACAAGTGAAGTTTGTCTCAGTTGTGACATTCTTGAGAGGTAAGTGGTTTGACATCCGGTTGATCTGTTGGTCAGTACTTGTATTTCCTATGTTCGGCCACGGCTGAATGATATAAGGATTGTTCGCGCCATAAAAGGAGGAAAAACTTGGTGTTTCAGAAGACGGACTAGTATGTTGGACGTTTTCGGTATGCAGCTCTGGTATCTTTCCCAGTCGTTGCTTTCTCTCGGGGGTATTTTTGCGAAACTGAGTGGAGCGGTATGCTGTTTATGCCACCTACCCAATAATGGAGGCAACGGAGTGGGTTTTAGGGGCTAGCATGGCTGATTGTCTGATCCTCTGAGTTTTTTTACTGCTTGTGTCATGAATTTGAGCAGCTTGGTACTCGCCCAACCTTCATTCTTCTTTCGAGATACAAAGCACATTTTTCTAACTGCGTGCTGAATTGGCGCTGTTTCTTATGCTTCTCAACGGCTTTTTGAGACCAAGTTGAGCTTCGTTCTGGCAACGGGCGATAACTACGCTTTCCTGCTAGAAAGTGTTCCTAATTTTCCATTCAAACTGGACGGCATCCGTTGTAGTCCACATGAACTTCAGCTACTTACCATAGCAGCATTTCGGAACTGGGTGTTTTCTTTGTTTTGCTGACTTGCTCACAGGCTCACGGCGATCCCTGTAGCAACATTTAACTCTCACTGTAATTTCCAGTGAAACCTGACAGGTATTTTGATAATGGATCCGTCAGTTTCCGTGTAATCGATCTGTATGCTGTCATAGTTCAAAAGACTTCCGGCAGCTGTTGGCCTTTTTTGAGGCCACCATACAGCTTGAATGCAGTCACACGGCTTATGTGCGCTTGCGCCCGTTTTCGTGCCAACTGCTTTCGTTACTGCGCCAACCGATACATTTCAGCAGTGCAGTTGTCAGTTGCTCAATCGGTCGGTTAGTCAATCTGTCAGTCAGTCACAATACAAACAATACGAAGGCTTACTTCAACGTCGGTGGTTTGTAGTGTAGTAAAGTGAGAATTCGAAGATTTATCCGATTGAACAACTGAACCTTTGGATCTCTACGGGATGGCCACCATAGTTCGGAAAAGAGAGAATCGAGTAAAGATATTTTTGAACCGGCTTGCTTCGAGTTGGATCACAGAGAAGTGACCTGCTATCACGTAAGGGACGAGACTTTCACTGCCCTAACGATGGGTATGTTTCGAAAATGAAACGATCTCGAAGACCTCGTATAGGGTCGAGTTGCCTGTCCGTTTCGAAACCAGCTCTGGCTTTTCGGTTGCTTCGGCAGATCACTAGCCCCCACCCCCGAAATTCTTCTAGGTGACGTGTCAAGCATGCGCCAAGCTGAACGTTTGGTTGTGTTTATGTGAGCTCGCTCATAATCTGTCTGCCACACGTCCTTTCGTTTTTCCGTAGCACTTGCTCATGCGACTTACTGGCAAGAAGGCTCACCCTGAACACCCGCCGCCGCACACACCTATTCTGGATAATATGATCGAAGAACGCTGTATTGTAAAGAATAATAAATCGGGTAGCCCTAACCTGACTACATTACTCTTTCTCAAGTGCCTTTAACCCCGAAAATACGGCCACACAGTGCGGTCATTTGCTCCGTTGGTGCAAATTCACAGTCAACCATATCGCACAGCTCCTACATCCAAGTGCAACGAGGGTCAAACGGACAGTGTCGTAGGGTGCCGATTATACGAGATCGTCATGGTACTGGTTGTGTCAAACTGTCGCTCACTTCAGATTATAGTGTCAGTAAGCTCCCACCTGAAGGGACCTCCTTATCCGTGCCCCGCGAATTTCCTCTGTGGATTGACACAGACCCAGTCCCCGATGGATGCGCGGAAGTCATGAGTGGCTGGCATCTTAACTGGTGGTCAAATCACTCTTGACTTTGTGCACAGTGAGAGGCCATAGATGATGTGTGCGGGGCCGAGTGTTGTGCTGCAGCCAAGCTCTTGGTATCTAGGTACAACCGAGGGAATAAAAGGGGCGAACAAATGTGCAAAGACTTCATCAGCTGGCCTAAACATGATTGCACTTGTTATTCGTTTATCCTGGAGGTACCGGTGTCATCTGTCAGTTCCTTTGACTTTTCTGCCTATTACAACGCCTCTCCAAATGATAATGTCAGGTGGCTAGTCATTATAAAATGGAACAAACTTATCTCGGCTTGAGAATTGACGTTGGTGTCAAGTGGATCAGTGATTACGCTGTTGACTCGCAAGACCACTAAGACATGTGCGTTGGTATGGTGCACAAGCTCAACCTGTCCAGGCTGCGTCGGGAAGATTCTGACCCTTCCGAATGGCTTTTTTGATTCCCAGCGTTGCAACGCGTCTCATCTCAAAACTTCCAACGCTTGCTTGCTGAATAGTCGTTCGTTCTGCTTGTCGTTTTCTCAAGTGTCAGATTCCCCTTTGACCCAAAAGGGAAGTTGAAGTTTCTCAGACTTATCAGAAGGCTGCCTAACGGTGGGTTTTCGGGCATCCCCAATTTCGAAGTCTGTTCTTCAGCTAACCCTCGACCGGTTGCTTTGGGATACGGGTTTTGGCCATCCGTTTCAAGTGGCCCAACCGCATCAAACTACATTTCATTCCAACAGCACTTGCTCTCTGGGGTACTTTACTATTGGGGACTTTCTCATTCTACTAAATCCGTAAGATTTTACACTGACAGTGCAAGTAAAATCGTTCAAGAACCCAAACATATAGTCTATATAGCGTCCAGATCTCGCTGACGCACACCACTGAGGAATGTGTGATAGTTTTGATGTCTGTACGCAAGTGACTGTATTGACGCGTTGATAGTTGAATCTACCGTAGATAAGTATGGTCCTATAGTGTGTTTATATACCATAGCAAACCATAAAACTGCCTGGACGATGTTCGGTTTCGTGATTCTAGTTAGGGATTTTGATATGTTAAAGAACCAATCATGTTTTGATATTTGACAGAACCCCTGATTTCCTCCTGGTAATCGTCATTTACTGAAGAGAGTACGACGAGATTAACGGCATCAAAGGAAGATGAAAAATGTCAGGGAACCGAAGATGGTTGCGGAAGTCCTAGAAACGGGTCTGAAGTCGACCTTTGTTGAATAGATAACCCCCTACAAAATATTTGTATTTTGCCTTTGAGCTGCTTTCCAGTAAGTCCATGTTATATACTAGGCAAGCAATTTTGGAACTTAAGCAGGGGAAGCATTTCCTTAGATAGCAACCATCTGCCTTCTCAAAAAGGGTACACTGAACGAAGTTCCGCTTTCCGAAATGACCACTTTGGTCGGGTTCTACTGATCGAGCTCCTTGTTTGCCAGACCGTGAAGGTTTTTAGGTCATAATTTCCACACCTTTGACATTACATCAGGTTTTTCAAATCAGTTTTAGGTGTTTTTGGAATTGGCTTGTGGAGAAATCAGTCGGCCGTTGGCCCAGAGCTCTCAAAGGCCAGTATCCCGTTTTCGCACATTTTCGAGTGCTTTAGACAGCAGAGCAACACACCCAGATCACATCAGTGGGTCGACCGCATTGGTCGAAACTTCCAAGCGACTTCGATAGAATTAGTATGGTAGTTTTATTTTGGAAAGGTGAATAGCCTTTCTGTTGTACAGTTCCATTAGAACTACATTCGTTACAAGAACCCTTTTGAAACCAGGTCTACAAATTTGAGTCTCGCTTTCTGGTCCGTTCACACTATAGCGCATCCGTTGACTTCGTTCACACCTGGCTACTCAGGATCTCAGTTCCGTATGCGGTACTTGCGTTAAGCTTGCCTCACCATCGGCTTTGTTTATCCAGGTCCTTTATTTACTTTCTACGTCTATTGTGCATCTCCCGTCGTTTTTTCATATACGTGAACATTGCTGGTTGTTGACGTGTTACCTGCATCGATGTTTATTGGATTTGGTCTATTGTGCTTTAAGTAGTGACTAGTGAGGGTTGCTCTCTGCACCTTTTTTCACTGATTAGTCTGTGTTTCGCCAGGCTGAGGGTGTCCAATTAGTCTTTCGGTGCCTTTCGGTGCCTAGCTGTCATGCCAGCCGAAGGAAGCACGAGGGCTGGAATACTGCCAGGTTGCCCAAGCCTAGACCGGGGAAGTTGAGAGGTGGAGGTCGGGTTCGAACCACGGAACTTCCTGTCAGTAAATTCGCGCTCTAACCACTTGGGCCATCTCGCCCCCTCTACAACCAACTAACACCACAAGGACGGGAACTCCCCCCTTCCAGAGATTCATAATTTATGTATTGCTGATGATTATCAACAAAAAGAAGACACGTGTACGTTAGCTGCCGGATTTTAAGCCTAGATTAACCTCATTTAAAGTGTTCGAAACTTTTTGGTGTCCATACCAGTTATAAAATCTTGAACGTTTACTGGCATCAGTGCTACTATTAGCGGGCTTTTACCTGGTGAAATTTGTTTACCCCTCTGATCTCATGTGAAGGTGAAGTCATACCCATGTAGTCTGTGTAAAACGTGATCTACTTATCCAGTCGTCGCGTGCGCTCAATTGAAGCCGGTTATAGCTTGCATTTACTCTGATTTGGTTACCTTTTGCTCAATTTGTGATCGTCCCACATGCGCTCAGTTATTCTATTGCATGACAAATGTAGGTCACAATGATTTCAGAAGGAATTAGCACATCGCGACTTTTTAGATCGGTTGGGAAGGCCTTCTCGTTTCCACCTGAAGGTGATACATGTACCCCGATACTTCGTTTGGTTCTGTCGTCGGTCGACTTGATTTATTTGCGGCATCAGAAACGAATAGCATTGGAGTCTCGCTTTGTAGTTACGAACAACTTTGCAGCATAGCGGAAGTTGACGGGATATAGCGTGTTCACAACGAAAACCTAAGTGAGTTATTGATGACAAGCCGTGAAAAGTCATTATGTCCAGACCATACAGTGGCAATGCAAACTGCGGGCGGCGGCGGTCAGTGTCGACTCCACGCCTTCCTGGTTGGGACTCGCATGGTTCGCTCTGTACTTGATTAGAAACTTTGCAGGACGAGCTAAGTGTGATGAGCATGTTGTTACTTCCTAGCCAGACTTTACTTGTCGATGTGTTTTGGACTTGGGTTGGCTGAATAATAAATATACAAATCGTTCGCCTGTAGCACCCTTTCTGTGCCCAACTGCCATGTTACCAGAAAGAAGCACGAGGGCTGGAATACTGCCAGGAGATGTTGAGTGACAGAGCTCGGGTTCGAACCACGAACCCCCCGGCTAGTAAATTCGCGCTCTATCCACTGAGCCACCTCGCGTTGGCTGTGGTTCGCAAAGAATACTAGGTCAAGCTCGTTGATAGCAACCTACTCCGATATGAGGTTCACACTCTCGGAGGTGCTCTTAACCATTTCCCCAAGGACATTAGGCCTCTTTTTTCGCTCTTCAAGGGATATTCTTCCTCATGACTACACGGTATTTAGACATCAGTATTGAACGCTGGTCTGTCACTGTCAGGGCTAGTGGTGATGACTCTAAACCCACAGTTTCACACCATCTCTACGTAACATTAAAGTTCTTTCACATCAAGGTAGTCGGGCCGGTACAGATATCCAGAACCCCCCGGCAAATTCGCGCTCTATCCACTGAGCCACCTCGCGTTGGCTGTGGTTCGCAAAGAATACTAGGTCAAGCTCGTTGATAGCAACCTACTCCGATATGAGGTTCACACTCTCGGAGGTGCTCTTAACCATTTCCCCAAGGACATTAGGCCTCTTTTTTCGCTCTTCAAGGGATATTCTTCCTCATGACTACACGGTATTTAGACATCAGTATTGAACGCTGGTCTGTCACTGTCAGGGCTAGTGGTGATGACTCTAAACCCACAGTTTCACACCATCTCTACGTAACATTAAAGTTCTTTCACATCAAGGTAGTCGGGCCGGTACAGATATCCAGATGTGTCTGGTAACTGGTAATTCGGTAATATATGAGCTCCCTTATCACCTTTCCGGATGGAGTTGTGGCCAGGCGCCAGGACGCTACCGCAGAATGAATTTTACAACTGCATTTCCCCTTTTCCAACTCACATTCTCGTTGAACTTACAAAGCTATCGGATTGGTATCCTTGTCCACCTAGGTTATCTTTCCTTTGGCCGTTCGTTGTCTGAATCAGTATGCTTCAGTACCGTTTTCCTCCTCGTTTCTTTTCACAGTCAACCTGCAGCTCAGCCTTCTGATGGTACCGATTTCTGTCACCTGGATGGAGCCCGTCACCTACATTTCTGTGAAAAACTCAATTCCCCCGTTGGTGATCAGTCGATCATCCGCTCTACTCTCCTCGCTCATCCTGATCACGTGACTTCTCCGTCAACTTCTTACGCCTGTCTAGTTTTGTGTATTCTGATTTGTTTTTTTTGTACGCATAATTTCCTAATGCTCTATGATGAATCACTTTCTCCTCTGTCTGATTTCCAACGTTTCATTTGTATCAAGTCACTTTCTACTGCCATCTTAGTACGTCATACGCATTGGACGTCCTACTGGTGTTTGTTTGAACGATTACCAGGAGTTGGGTGATTAGACGAATAAAGAAATGCCATAAAACGTATGACTTTCATAATTTTGAGTGCTGTCGCTGCGGGACAGTGCTTTCAATCGAGGACACCGTATGGGGTTAGTGTATTTCGCACTTTGTAAATCCTCTGGGATAGCTCAATGGTTCAGGCAGGCACTTACTAACCGGAAGGACCGTGGTTCGAGGCCAACCCAGGTATCTCGACCGCTCCTGCCTAGGTTTGGGCAGCTCGGCAGCATCTAAACTTTTTGCTTCAATCGGGTAGCATGCCGGCTAGGTACTGAAAGAGCCTCACAAACGAATTGTTATCGAGAACGTTCTCATTGGCATTTGATCCCGGGGACTTATTGGCTTGACTGGTTATTGGTCGCGTTGTGTTGGGTTCCCTTTTATCTTGGGATTTCATCTTGACGATAAAATCAACGCCTTGTGAAACGCACCCACGTGGATGCAGATCGGATTGTATGTGACGATCAGTGAGACGTGCTCACAAACGTGTACTGTACATGAGTTGTTTCGATTGGTACAAATCCACGTGTTGCATTGCTGGTTTTGATAACTGTGGCTTACGTTCCAGCGAGAAGTTTTTCATCCTTCGGTGATTCGCTTTCAGGTGATTTAGGCAGAAGGATCGCCTATTGCTCGTGCGGGTCACCAGTGTGAAACGGCTTGTTTTGAGTGCGTTTGTTTGCAGTCAGTTGCTTCTTGGTTTGCGCAAACATGTGGTTTGAAACAGGAAATTCATGCTGGAATGGATTTCCACAACAGTCATCTAACAATGCACGCAAACGACCAGTGATTAACTTAAGGGTTGGAGACGAGTCGAGCTTTCGGGCTTTGTTGATGGTCTGCCACACTGTTGACGGCGTGTGCTCATAATTCTGGGTGCATATTGAGATATAATCAACACGCCCACCTCCTTACCCGGATGACTTTCTATCTTGCCATTTACCCGCATTTTTATGATTGCAAGGCTAGACAAACTCGCGCAATCCATCTTATCGGGTCTGTCGCTTCAATTTATCAGAGCGACAAAATGAGCCCGGATATACGGGAACGTAAAAATGACCCGATTCGATGAGCCCGGAGTAGCTTTTTTCCGAGCGAACTGCACTGCTATATTCACGTGCACGTTGTCGAACCATTCGGTTTCATAGAAAATCGGCTACATTGTCGCATCAACCAGAAGTGCAGGGTCGACGCAGCGAGACAAGCATGAAATATGGTATGTAGAAATCGCAAAAATCGATATAGAGATGTTCCCTAATTGAAAATATCAAAACGAGTGGAGGTGACACTGGACTGAACGGATGGGCAGTCGTAGAAAACAGTCTCGGGCGTGGTGACGTGGAAATGGCCGACATCTGAGGTGACAGACACGGTGGTCTGTCCGGTTACAATGGTCTCACCTCGGTCACGCGATATTTGGCCGGAAGTTTTTACCTTTCTACCGACCACTCTACATGTTCCTGAGTAGCAGTGTACCTCTCCTCAGGGACCAAATGTCCACAAGTCGCGTTTCAACTCGTCCTATATTGGAGTAGCATGTAGGCACACGACTAATCTCAAACTAAAGTTTGTTTTCAACATACTTTAGGTCTGCAAACATGGTTTTCATGTCCACGAACGTTAGACACTTTAGTAGGTCCTCGTTTCTGATAAGAGGTTGCTCCGTAGAATTCTTCACCACTTACGGCTAAGTAGAATGAACAAAGTCTATTGTGGTGATTCACCGGGATATGGAAACTCGATGATGTACATGGGTATAAGAATTGGGAGAACCCAACATTAGAAACATGATAAAGTTCGGAGAACAGCTATGCGGTACACTCGTCCTTTTGATGGGAGGATTTCTGGACTTAAATATAGGCCACTGGTTCTCAAACTTCAGTATCTCGTTCAGCGCGTGGAATACTACGCCATTACCCCTCATTTTGTGTCTAAAAAAACCGCTCAGCTGTAGCACCCTTTCGGTGCCTAACTGCCATACCACCAGAAGGAAGCATGAGGGCTGGGATACTTCCAAGTTGCCCAAGCCTAGATGGGAAGTGGAACCACGAACCTTTTGGTCAGTGAATTCGCTAGGGCACATTAGAAATCCTTCAGAGATTAGTTTGGAAGGAATTTCTTGCCCAGAAAACTGAAAGGGAACTACCCCATCAGATGTGTTTGACTACGTTTGGATAGTCCATTGAAGGCCATGCGAGCGTCATTCGTTACCAGCCTCAGCAAATAAGATGATATCAGCTCACCACCAGTTGAGTAAGCTCTTGTTGTCCACCTTCCACGTTGTGTACTCGTACGGGTCTTATCAAAGCCCCAACCTAACGAGCACTAGCCACGGAGAGCATGGCTTTGCACAATCTGAAACGGTCGTTGAAAAATGACTAGATGACAGCACCTTTCTGTTAACAATAACTAAACTTAGACCACAATTAGTTGTTTACGGAAAATCTGGAAACTCAACGGTCAAGGTGCATCGGTCATCAGTGGTAGTTCATGATAGTACAGTGGCGTTTGGTTTGGAGTTATTGGTATGACAGTTCAAACTGACAAAATATGAGGGCTGGGGAACTACGAATGTCCACAAGCGCACCATGAATATCAGTGTTGTCAACTTTCAAACACGGCCGCTCAAGAGCCCGAATCAAAAGTAAATTCACTGGTTCAGTTCCAGTCCGCATGTGTAAGGTGATGTTCTCTCTTGCCGTGGTGTTCGTGTACGATAAGGAGGGTAGCCGTTTGTTATTACCGCAGTTTGATTACAATGCTGGTGAGCTAACAGCGTAGTACCATTGTGCTTTAGGTATGTTTGCACGTACTATGAGTAATAAGTGGTCCCCCTCCACGGTGACCACCCTCGTTCAAACAAAAAGTAGTTGAGCTGTCCCCCACGAATTCGGAGAGAGGGAGGGGAATTCTGTGGTTGGTTAGGGCTTAGTTAACCGGAATTTCTGTACAAATCGTTCAGCTGCAACATCCTTCCGGTAACTAGCTGCCATACCACCCGGAGGATGCACGAGGGCTGGGATACTGCCAGGTTACCCAAGCATAGAGGGAGTCGGTTTCGAACCACGGACCTTCCGGTCAGTAAATCTGCTCTCTAAGCACTGGGCCTACCCTCTTTGGATATCCTGCTCCACTTCGCGCTGTTGCAAAGGAGTATTGAGGGTTATCGATGTTGCACCCATGAAATCTGGTGACTATATTTGACTTTACACTGTTTCGATGTTGAGCACATAGTTTAATAACCGTTCAGTTGTTCGCATTCAACTTAATTCCTTTGATCGAGACCTGCACGCATTTCTTTGCGATCGGTTCAATCTATGGCCACAGAGTGGTATTTTTCATGATTTTTTGCAGGGGTTCCAGTGTCATTTACGCACAGATAAAAACATGAAATGGCACCAAACTTTCCGAAAAATAATATGAGCTCATGGCATAATGGGGGTAAATTTTACCGTACAAGACTTCCGGTAGGTGGAAAATCCCTGAAACACCGTGACTGAAGTCAGTAATACATTTTCAGAGGCGCCGATCTTTTCTTACTGACCCGAACTCCGGCCAATCATAACAGCTGTTCAGCCGTAACATCTTTCCGATGCCTAGGTGCCAAGCCACCCGAAGAAAGAGCGAGGGCTGAGAAACTGTTAGGTTACCCAAGCCTAGGCTGGGGCAGTCGAAATACTGAAGTTGGATTCGAACCATGACACTTGCGATCAGTAAGTCCATCTCCTAACCACTGAGCTGTCTCGGCCTTGACGCCGGTCTCAGTCACTGCAATCGACCACTCATAAGGAGTGCTTGATGTAAATTACAGAATTCGAGGAGAGCACAAAATTTGAGTTCGTTTGCCATGCATCGGGTGGGTCTCACCTTATTTCTTCGGGTGTATACTACGGAATAATATCAGCTAACTAACTACAACGGGACAAGAAACCCATCGGAATATCGAAAACAACTCATGAATTTACAGACACACTAAACTTTCCTACTTTTCACTCACTAAATGATCGCTATGAAGTGAGCTAAAACCAGTGAATGCAGCCTGAAAAAGTTGATCTCCTGACCGTGCGAGTCGCACAACAATTTCCCATAAATCAGGTGTTGCGAAATTCCGACTCCATTCTACCGTTTGCTGTGCAGTTTGTCGGAACGGAACTTCTCACATGAACCAAAGCTCAGATGTATTTTCTAGAACCATTGGATATTTCTGCTTCTGAACAATGTGGTATGTAACATTCTTTGGATCGCCGACAGTTAACCGTAGTTTGCAAATTCCACAGGAACTTTGCACCGATCCGTCGTGTTCTGATTAGTCCGACAAATGTCAACGGAGTCTAGACAGCAAGTGTTTTCTCATTTAAGCCAACGGACAGATCGGTTGTATCGATCGGTTGTGTGAACTTTGCATATAATTTGTAGTGTCTGGAGTTTCATCAGATAAGCGTGTTGTGCAGTCTAAGGTTTGGTGAACCAAACATACGCCGGGACTTTCGACTTGGTGAGATTTGGTTTCCCTCTTTATGGCGTGCACTTTGGGTCGATTGGGTTTAATTTGCGTAGTCATCATTTATCGATTTCTACGTAGCTAGAAGGATCATGTGACATCACCCAAAGACGAATCGGGACACGGGTTATTTGGACACAAAGCTGTGATGTTCTCTGGGCCACTGCGGTCCTATTGATCAGCTTGCGTACTCAGGAATGTGCTTCATTTTGAACGATATTCGAGATATCGCAGCATATTTTCCTAAAGGAAACTACTCACGAGGGTGCTGAAAACTTTTCGACACGAGGTGAACCAAGGAATGTTGCCTACTGCGTGATTCTCATCGGTCACTTATGTCCTCAGATCAGGTCAGTTTTTGAGGCATTGCGAACGCCTGGATTGGATAAAGTTGACAACCAACTCATGATGTGGTTGTCCAAGTAGAGTGAATCTGGTGGCACGGCCTTGGCGAAAGGGTAGATAAAGTTGACAACCAACTCACCACCATGATGTGGT